ACCTCTCTGGTGGATGTTTGGTTGAAACAAGCTTGCTCTTCATTCAGTGACGTTCCTCAAAGTGAGTAAGAGTAAAAAGTAGTGAAAATATTCCTCAAGATACGTCAATACCCAACATGTGGGTGAGAATGAAATGTAGCTTTTTGGCCCACATGGAAAATTACATGCATGAATGAAAGTCAGCTCCAGATTCCCCTGAACGCACCATGCACATCTCAAAATATGGTGGCGGAAGCATGAGGCTTTTCTTCAGCAGGGAAAGGAAACTTGATAAATGGTAATCCTGGAGGAAGACAAAATTCTTAAACATACTGACAAACCTAAACTGAATGCTTTAAAACGAGGAGAGAAGGAAAACCCTGAAAGACACATTGAGCAGCAGCAGGACAATCTGTAAACGGGCGTTTTGAAGTGGAATCTGTTTCCTTTATGCTTCTCTGAACTTTATCTAAAGTTCATCTTGCTTCGAGGCATCTTAATAGTCCAGTAGTGTTTCCAGCAGCGTTTCTCACTCGTGACTGAAAGCAGCTCTTCATGCTTTCTGACCTGACCCAGTTAGTCAAACACCGGCTTATTTAGACACAAAACACCAACATGCCACGTTCAACTGCGGCGCCATCGATCTCATGCTCACATACACACACACACACACACACACACACACACACACACACACACACACACACACACACACACACACACACACACCACACACACACACACACACACACACATATATATATTTTTTGCCGTCATTAAAGTCCTTTGACTGACTCTCTCCTCAGGGACACATTGCTCTCGAGTTCTTCGGCACACAAGCGTAAAATTAGACCGAACTCAAAGTCTCTGAGTTTGTGCTGAGGAGAAAGTGGGCGTTAAAGAAACCATTGTGATTATTTTTGGTCTCAATGCTGCTTCTGTACACTTTTTCACCAACTGATAGAGAAATTTTAACAGAGGCTTGTTTCTGAAGGGGATATTTACCATGTGTGGATGTGTGATGAATGTATGATATAAAGCAAGGCTGTGTTTGAGTTAACTTGTGTGTGACAGCATGTTGGAAGTTGAGTTTCTGTTTGGTTTTAACGGAATTGAGTTTGCAATTTTAGAGTTCATGCAGAGGTGCTGTGGGGGTTTTTTATTGGAAAATTCAAAAATAATAAGAGTTGCATCGTAGCAGCTACTTTCAGGAGCTATTTTCAGTGCAAAATTTAGAAAATAATAATAATTTTAAAAAAATTTCTCAGTGTTGCACTTGAACTACGCCCTTTCTGTATCTTTGCGTTGTCCTTCGCATCCAAAACGCTTTAATCAAATATCTCTGGTTGGTTTTGCAGCATTCATCAGGAGAGACGTCATGATTGGTTAAAATAAATATTAAGAACAATTTCCATAATCATTGCTATCATTGATCATCTCAGGTCCCGGACAAATCCAGTAGAAATCCTGCTGGACGGGTTGAAGAGACGAACAGGGTAGAAAACGAAGCGCGTTAACGCACAGATACTAAAAACAAAGTGGTCAGCTTTAAGGGTGTGTTCTTCAAAATATCCATTTTGGGCAATAAAAGTTGAATTTTTACAGATCCCTTCCATTGGTGCCAACTGGGGAAGGCGTAGTAAGTAACTACCAAGTGTTGCTGGTTACTTGTCAGGATCAATTTACTGTTTTTCCTGAAGAAACAAGGAATTGCAGCAGGGTGGAGAAAAAACACATAAAAAATACAAAGGCAATTACACTAAACTATTAGAAAAACAGCAACAAAAAAAAAAGAAAAAGATGTAATGAGTAAATGACAATCGCCCACATTTTCAATTTGTCTGAGTTAAGCCTGGAGTAGTAAAAGTTTTTCCTTCTGTTGGTCCAGATTGCGAATGCAGAAACATTCCAGTTTATATGCAGCATATTTGTTTCATCCTTAAACTTTTGTTCTTCCTCTTTGTTCCCCAGAAAGCCTCCCAGTTGGACAGCTTTATTCTACCCAGCGCTGCCAGCACGCTGGATTTGATGTCCCATGTTGTGTTGGCCGTGACAAACAAGACACTAAAGTCTGATTTGAGCAAAACGTCCAGACTGAAACGCCTCACAAAAAAACATAATGTGAATTTGCTTTGGATCCCGCTTACATGAATCAGATTTGTTGTGGTTCAGTTTAGCTGGATTCCATCGGAGGTAAACACAGGGATCAGATACAATGCAGCAGCCAGGATAAAATGAACGGAGTCACAGTGGAATCACATTCCTACATACAGATGAAATGATTAGTGTGACATGTGGACTTCGCCCTGCGAGCCCCATCTTCATGTCTCTGCTTTGATGGACTGATCTAAAAAAAAAACATTACTCAGTCTGTGTAAAAGCACGCTGCACTGTTTTTGCTCATTCATACATTCTGAATTGAATCACTGAGTGAATAGGACGAAGCGAAGCCGTCCTCTGCCTTCTCTGTTCAGGTCAGGGTAATCATAATTCAGCTCAATGTTACAAGCCAGGCTAACCATGCCTTACCCAGCCAATTGTTTCTGAGAGTGTAGCAGTGACAGCAAACATACATCACACACACTCCTGCTACTAAACGTGGCTCTGAGGTCAAGGCCAAACAAGGTTATTCCTGCAATCGTTTCAAATGCTCTCTTTGCTCTAAAGCATCTGGTTAAGATTAATTAAAATCCTCTATTCAACCCTTCAGCTTGAGTCCATTTATTTTATTTTATTAATTTTTTTTTTACATCTCTAGCACCAGTAATGATTCCTACAGTGTGGAACTGATGCGTTTTATTGATTTCTATTTCACTTTTAGTAATGTCTGATTACGTATTTGTTAAGGGTGTATATATAAAGAAAATGACAGTGCCCCAGTTTTCCAAATCACTTTTCAAAATGGGAAAGACAAAAGGACATGCCACTAGAATAAGACTCGTGTGTGAGGAGAGAGGTTACAAAAACAATTAACCTCTCAGACTCAATTTGAGTCTTATTCAATTCTCTGAAGTGAGAAAAAAAATGAAAATAAAAATAAAATATTTGTTTATTTGCATTTTATATAATGCAGAAGTTCGGTTGTACAAATAAAAGCTAAATGCTTGATTTACTTTTTAAAAAATGTATCATGGGTAAAATTCCTTTTACTCATGTAAACAAAGTGAATTTATTAATTTATTCTTAAAATGCCACAAAGCAGAAATGCAGCTGCTGGTTCTAATCTTGTCCATATTTTTGCTCAATTCAAAATAAATATATAGAACTTAGCGAGAAAATATTCACCTTTCAATTTTGACCTGCAAAAGGTTTCGACGGCAGGGATTTAACATTTGTGCTGAATCTCAAGGTAAGACAGAAATAAATGCATCAGATTCAGATAAAACCACAGATTAAGACATCATTGTTTTGTTATTTTCAAGGCCTGTAAAATGTAAATGTCTTTTATGCTCATTCACACTTAAACAGAATCTGTTCACATCATTGGTTTTGACTGACAGAACCCGTGATTGGATGTATTGTATTTTCAAATTATGCTCTGTTGTCCATGAAGTCGATTTAACATGATGAAGTAGAAACATTCTGTAAATGGATGTACAGTTTGACCCCTTGAAGGGTCAACCAATTAAAACCAATTAAAACTGCAGTGGATAGAGAAGATTTACTTTGGCCATTAATAATACAGCAAATTCATATGAAGAAAGTAGGACAGCTGAAAATGAAACTCCTGATTATTCAAACACAAAGCAATACAGAATAATTTCCATCAGTAATCCAGAGAGCTAATTAGAACAGAAAATATAAGTGATCCACATTCTGCAACCTTCAGATGTGTCTATGAATAAACACTCTGATGCCCACTGGCCAACTTCACCAGAATCTGTGTGCCGTGATTGGCTGGTTTGCTGCAGAGAGTCATCTGGCGGAGCACCTCCTGGCTGAGCTGTTCAAAGCCAACGTCACATTACCGGCAGAGAAAAATCAGTCAAAACTGGGTCAGAGGATAAGAGGCGTCGTCACACTGATCACATCCAGTGATCAGAGAACATCCTCGTGAACTGGCCATTTGAGCTTTAAGAGCCTTTACTTAAACCTTAAATATGGAGGTATAAACATTTAGATGTGAAGCTAAACTGTTCTTGTAGGAGTAGTAATAAAAAAAGTGTTTTCTGTTCTACCATCAGCAATATAAATATGTGGCATATTAATACGCATTATTATGCACTTGAACTGGAACATTTCTGCATCCACTACGTGATTTTTGTTGTTGTTTTGTTTTTCAGCGCCTGAACTTTGATCTTTCGTAAAAGGTCATTATTTTCGTTACCACCGCAGGAAAAATTAAAGACAAACCAACATTGTTCAGGCTTCCTAATGCAACAACGCTAAAGATCTTCTTGTTATGCCACTGAATTCTTTGTTACTTGATTGAAAGAATATTTTTGCAGAACTGCGCTGTTAAATTTCAAATCACTAAAAACAGTCTTCTGTCATGCTGCATTTCTGGAGGCTTATAAACTCTCAAGGAAAGTAGATTTTTCTGTGTTTTAAAATGCCTGTTATACAAGAACGCCCACACTGCAAAGGGCTCTGCTTTCTAAAAAAAAGAAGACTGACTTAAAAAAAAAAAACTCCTAAAAAGAGGAACAGGAAACAAGCAGCAAGCAGAATTCATCACAACAGAAATAATTAGACTCATTTCATGCATAGATTGGTTAATATAAATCCCACCAGCCTCTCATCCAGTAACTCATATTTCTCATCTCGCTTTCAAAAGTGAATTTCTAATTTTGGTAAGTCTATTCGAGCATGTAGCAGTGAACCACGCCTACACAGCTGAGGAGATCCCTCTGGGTCGGCATTCAACCATCACTTTTACCCTTTTCTTCACCCAGACAACCACTCCGAGTCACAAACCAACCAGTGTGACCACAGCGAACCACGCGCGCGGCTGCAGCTGCCCACCAGTAAACCCACGCTTGTTTCCCAACACTTCCCAGCTGACCCTTTGGCAAGCCTACCGTCTTCATAGAAGACATCCTCCGCTTCTTCACGCATCATCTCATCCAGGTCGTCCTCTGGAATGTCGGTCACAGCCATCAGTATTCCTCCCGGTCTGAGCAAACGTCTGGACTGCAAGAAGGAATCAACGCCGGCCCGCGGCCTCTTCGCTCCGATCCACCGGTGGGCTCCTCACACGAGAAGGGAGAGGACTGGGACTGAGCTGAGCGTGCTTCAGCTGTCTGCACAGCAATGTGTGTGTGTGTGTGTGTCAGGTGAAGAGTGGGTGGATGCAAGAGAGGACACCCAGCGACCTTCTCCAAGTTTCAGCAAGAGTGCCGATTTCATAACATCCTGTGCAAAAGCTGAAGTGAGAGTGTGCCGTTTGGAGAGCACTTGTACGAGTATGCGTGCGCATGTGTGTGTTTATGAGAGTGTGCCGTAAGAGGAGCGTCAGCGGTGTGTGTGTGCATGCGTGTCCATATCCACCGTACAGCTCTCCACAATGAGTCAGCTTGGTGATCAACAGGAATTATTCGATGGCATGTTTTGAGAAACATGCAAAGAAGGTGTGAAAGTGAGAGTTTAGCATGGAGTGTGAGATACGAAGCGTCTCTGCCGGCCATTCTTTCACAGCCCACCAGGACTCATGGGACAACACTGATTGCTCTCTCGCTATTTTTTCATTTGGCCCACTTGGAGGGGGGCTTTGGCAGTGCCGATAACGTCTGCCGTCATCTGCTGTTTCTGAAAGCTTCCCCAGAGCGGCTCAGGCTGCAAGTAAACACTCTCACCTGCTCTGAGCAGAAAGCAATTTAAATCAGGCAGAATATTTACCAAGTAAGGTTAGTCGAAAGATCCTTCTATTAGGTTGCAGAAACAGAGTTTGTGCCCCTTGACCGTTGAACTGTGCAATTAAAACTGTAGAGCAGCACCAAACTCTGCTCTTCTCCATGAAGTTACATCTGTTCAATCTAGACATGAATGATGACTTTTGAAAAATAGGGGTTTGCATAACCCCTGGGACATTTTCTTATTAGTCATGTTCTGCCCAGCAGCGTCGCACTCAGTGCCAAGTAGCCCAACAGATTTACTTTCACAAGAGGAGCATTTGACATAGAAAAGGCTTTTGGTTTATTTAAATTGGACTGGGTACAGAAGTGAAAAGGAAACGGGGAGAGGTGTGGTGAAAAGTTTAAAGGGAAAGAAGGAAATTGGATTTCCATTGCCCCAACTTCTCTAAATTTTCTTCCTCCTTTTTGTGAAACCAGTCTCTTTTTCCCTTTACTCTCCATGCTGCTTCCCTGACTCACCCGATTTAGACAAACCAATTTGAAACCAAAATAGAAACTAGGCCTCAAGTCAATTCATTATCACATTTCCCTCAGACCTGCCCTCCTCTGTCACTGCTTCTCTTTAAAGCTGAAACTCCTGGGACCAAACCTGGCAGCAAACTCATTGTCCACAGAGCGAGTTCAGACAATGTCTGTACATGAAAACCATCATCAGATGCTGACCAGATCCAAAAATGAACGCGATGATGTTGTGGACAGAGCTAATAATATTGTGTGTAGTGTTAAGAAGACAGGGGATGAAACAATGCTAGTTACTGAAAGTGGAGCTGAAACTGCGGCAGAGGTTTCAGCTCTGCAGCACCAAAAGCAGTTTTCTAAATGAGTTTTTATCCCACTACACTACAAAAATTCTAGTCTCAGCAGCGGCACCTAGCACAAGCCATCCCCTCTAATTCATGCTGCTGTCGATAATTCAAGGGTTTTAAATTTGTGTGGTGGCAGAGAACATTGGTTTGTTCAGTTTATAGCTTAAGAAACAAACTCTGAAAACTGTTTCACAAATTTCAACTTTGCATGTTTTAAATAAGCTAAACCAAAACTCCTCGGCTTCAATATTTTAAAACAAATCTGTCGAGATTGGTTTGTGCAAATTATGGGTCCAACCATTTTGGAGTAGAGCTACTTAATGGCTACCGAGTAATTCAACTGGGTACCAGTTTAAAACACAGTTTACCTTTAATTATATCACTTAATAATTAATAATTTATCTTGTTTTGGAACAGCCCTGTTGACTATGCATATGGTCTTCATGGAAAACTTGGTTCCCATGAAGGTTGGTTGGTGATGATACCTGTTGTAAATCCTTCAACAGCCTCCAACGCTGAGAAATCATCACAAAGATACACATTTGCATATGTTCTCCTTTAATAAATTGATTCCAGGTTAATATTTAAAGGTGTGTTTTTACCCAGTATAGGCTACAGGTGATGTACTCTGTCACGCAAAAGGATTTTCACTTTTGTCACAATACAAAATCTAGTAATTTTGTATTGTAAAATACTGCAGATAAGACTCTGCATTATATTATCATAATTTTATGTAGCAAATCACCAGGACAGACTCCTGCATGTGTAGATTAATCTTTATAAATGTCCAGATGTTCTGTGAAGATCTTTTTTTTTCCCCATCTGTCAACACGTCAATCTTTAAACCTAGTGGTGGTGGCACCACCCTTCGCAAACAGAGGATGTTTTGAACATCCAATTCCCAACTAAAGACCTGGGTGGAGCTTCGCCTAGCAGGACAACGACCCTTAACATAAAGCTTGGTTTTGGTCAAAGCACAATAATGTGTCAAAACCTACATCTAACATTGAAGGTTCACAAATAATCTCCGGTTAACCTAAAAGAGTGTAAGCTGTTTTGAAAAGACAAATAGGGATAAACTTCTTTTTGTATTTAAGCAATGTCAAAAGTCTACAATGCAAGGATGTTCTGCAGAAACGATCAACCTTAATGACACACATGCTGAAGGTCTGCAGGACTTTCTGTAAAAGAAGGGCAGCACCAAAACATCACCTGCTGACAGCATGAACCAGATGCCACAGATACAGTTCAAAGAAGAAGAAGAAGAAGAAGAAGAAGGATGGATCACGCAGGCAACTAGCAGAAACAAACCACACATACAGACACACAGTGACACATGCACAGCACAGCCTGCTGTCTTCTGCAGCTTCATCCCACTTCCATCTGTTCACTCCTAAAACCAGCTCATGTCCTGGTGATTAAATCATGACTCATCTTGCAATCAAACCCAGAGCGACATCATTAACAGGACTGGTACAATCGCCACACAGATGACATCATTCATATTTCATGTTTTCATCAGATCCATTAGCATTTCTTGTAGACTTCAGTGAGGTCACATTTGAGTAACATTTAGTCGTCTGTGTTTCGGTGACTGGAAACATTGTCACCACAGAGAAAACTGCGTTTGCAAATGCAGCCAGACTGAGACGCACAGTCAGACAGCGACGACACTAAAACACAGTCAAGTTCGGACACCCGCTCAGCACATACACATGTATTTATTTCTCTCTCAGTGCAAAAAAAAGCACAATCAGATCCGCTCGGTACAATAGTGTTGTTTGAATGCGGTCAAACAATGCAGCTCTTTAGCATCTGCATCCCACCAGATGATGAGTGTCCCAGGAATGAATAGGCAGCTTCAGCCTCCTACACAGTGCCTCCTCTGGCCCTGAATATATGCATCAGAACGCCTGTTACTGTTTACTAAAATATCAGTTATTAGAACTGCAGATGTAATGTGCTTTTCCATGCAGGCTAATGGTGTTGCTCAAACTCAAAGATATGCAGCCTCTTCTCTTCTGTTCCTGTGAGAAGGTAAATAAAAAAACGTGCAGTTTTCTTACAGTTACATTTCATATTTATGCTTGATTATTATTATTTTATTGCACTCTCTTTGCACTGGATTGTATGGATTGGTCATGGATTGTGTTCGATTATGATTGTTAAACAAAGATGACTTTCTTATGTTTTTAAACCCAATATATTAAGTTTATTTGGACTGATTCAAGAGTTTTAGTTGAAAATGTTGCGTTGACGTCATCTCCTGTGCCTTAGCTTGCACTCTTACACCTGTCATGAACATGAAGGAGTCTTTATGAATGTCTACGACTGTTGTCACGACGTGTCATTTGGTAAATAATGACACTATTCATGCAAAATTACACTAAAAGAGTATGAGTTGTGCATTATTCAGCCAATAATGACCCTTTCAATGCAAATATTCATTAAAACTTGTATTAAAAGTCCATTAAAATGATCGGCTCTGCATTAAAAGTGTCATGTATGGATGACACTTGATGACAATGCTCATAAACATTCATAAAGTCTTCTTCATCTTCAGCTACAGCTGTTATGTCATGTTTATGACAGTGTCATGTCAGTCTCATGTGTTACCCATCCATTAGCTGCCCCCTGGGCTGTATGTGTCAGGCCCTGAAGGATGCAGAATTATTTACCTCACTGCCAAGACGACAGACTCCATGGATGCTATCTTACTTGGAGATTAAACTGTGCATGCAGTGTCAAAAGCATAAGAAGGTGAAGGTGTGAGGGGACTAGGAAGCCATTCTGCTGCTTAGGTGAAAGGAAATATGAATTTCAATTCACTGTTTATTTTCAGGAAATATTAATTTCAATTCACTCTTTATTTTCAGTAAATATCAATTACATTTTACTATCAGCCAGCATTGTCCTAATGTTTACTTACACCCTCAGAAGACCGAAAATGTTTATGAGTTTGAAGCACGATCACATGGAACAGAACGTCCAAACAATGCAGGGTACTGGAAGTGCAGCACAGAACACAGAGCAGACAAATAAGAAGGCGAACAGGTTTTTGCCGCAACAGATCACTGATCATTTTAGTACATTTAACAAAAGCAGAGTGACTTCTTTTGCTTCACCATGGCAGATATTTACAGAAAACTCCTCATTAAGTTATTTTCTGCTTAGAAATGTCCAGAAGAAGGATGTGAGTGACAGAGAAAGAGGACAAAAATTCGAATATTCTCCCTGTGTTCCTTCACAAATGACAAAAAAAAAACGGGATGACTGCAAGGGGATGACTGGTTGCCCGAGTAACAACGAGGAAGCAGAGAGCAGATACTCTATGTACATGTCTATCAGCTCCTTGGGCAAGTTTATGAGAAAAATTGCATAAAAACATCAATCGGTGCGGACTGCGGACAGAAAAACTTCACAAAAAAAAATGCTGGTGCTGGAAAGAACAACACATGATGCTCCAGTTTAACAAACCAGCAAAGTCTGAGAACTTTTAGCTGGTGCACAGACCAGAGGGAATTATTTGAAAACAGGCAAATTTGTGCAGATGACAACGAGCGGCAAAAATACCTACTGTACTCATATCGGTATCTTTTCATCCTCACATGGTGGAAAGTCCTGACTCTGCGATGCATGTCACTAAACTCCCCGCCTTGTGAGCTTTCCCCAGAAACTGCTCCTTCTGCTGCTTTCCCCCCCCAGCTTTTATTTCTGGCCTCTCTCCCTGTCTCTCCCTGCCGCCATTGTGTTTTGCAACTGTCCTTG